AACCATAACAACTGCCAAAAGTACAGAACAAAGAAAGAACTAAAAGCTGCAAAAGATAAACTCAAGTAACATACAAAAGGCAAATCCAGCATCATAATAGCAGATTTCTCAGAAAAAAACTCTAAAGGCCACGAGGGCAAGGAATGATACATTTCAAGGCCTGAAAAACAAAACAAAACAAAAAACTGCCAACTATATCCAGTAAAGTTATCCTACAGAATCAAAATAGAAATAAAACCCTTCTAAGATAAACTCAAGGAATTCATAACCATAAAAGAAGATATATAAGGGACTCCCACACAGGGAAGAGGAAGCAACAGAGATACAATCATGAGAGCATAGGGGGAAAAAATCTTACTAGAAGAGTAACAAGCAACTGAGAAAAGGGAAGACTCTAAAATGATTAATTCAGTAAACCACCAAACCTCTAAAATGAATAAGGAAGAAAGAAATGAACAAAGATCATTCAAAAACAAAAGAAAAGGGGATGGGGTTATATATAGCTCAGTGGCAGAGTGCCTGCCTCGCACATGTGAGGCACTGGGTTTGATTCTCAGCACCACATAAAAATAAATAAAGTAAATAAAGTAAAGATATTGTGTCCATATAAAAAAGAAGAAAAGAAAAAACAACAAAATGACAGGAACCCGTACATACCTTTCAATATTAATCCTGAATGTAATTGGTCTGAATTCTCCAATTAGGAGATACAGACTAGCTGATTCAATTAGAAAACCAGAGCCAGCTCTTTGTTTTCTCCAAAATATAGCCTTACCATGAAGAACATACACAAACTGAAAATGAAAGAGGGAAAAATGATATTCCAGTCAAATGGAATCCAAAAGCAAACAGGAGTAGCTATACTCATATATGACAAAACGGACTTCAGGCCAAAATTGGTCAGAAGAGATAAAGAAGGTCACACCATACATTGATAAAGGAAGTAACCCATCCATCCATACACACACACACACACACACACACACAAACACACACATACTTGTGTGTGTGTGTGTGTGTGTAAAACAATTGTAAATATATATGCACTGAATGTCAGAGCACCCGGTTTTAGAAAATGAACACTATTGAATAAAAACGGAGAGATGGATCCCAATAAAATAATAGTGGGTGACTTCAATACTCTAATCTCACCCATAGATAGATCATCCATACAACAAGCAAGCACCAGAGTTATATTATACTATAGATCAAATGGACTCAATAAAAATCTACAGAATAGTCCATTCGAGAGTGACAAAATACACATTCTTTCCATCAGCACATAGAACTTTTACAAAATAAATCACATTTTAGGGCATAAAACAAATCATAACAAATATAAAAATAAGATTTTTTGCATCTTTTCAGATGGTAACAGGAAAAAAATTAGAAATCAATACAAGAGAAATTGAGAAATCGAAGAAAACACAGAAATACATTGAAACTGAATAGTAGTACCCTTTTGAATAAGCAGTAGCTCATTGAAGAAATTGAGGGGTATGGAGGGGGGACTTAAAAATTCCTAGAGTTAAATAAAATGAAAGCATAACCTACCAGAACCTATGGGACATAGTAAAGCAATTTTAAGAGAGAAGTTATAACTATAAGTGCCTCTAATTTTTTTTAAAAAGGATATATCTCAAATAAATAATCTAATGATATATGTCCAGGCCTTAGAAAAACAAGAACAAATCAAACCCCAAATCTATAGAAGGACAGAAATAGTAAAGACTGAAGCAGAAATAAATGAAACAGAGATCGAAAGAATAATACAAAGGATCAATGAAACAAATAGTGGTTCTAAATAGATAAATTTTTAGCCAAATTAAATAAAAGAAAGGGAAAGAAGACCCAAATAAATAAAGTGAGAGTTGAAAAGCAGTTATTACAACAATCAGATCATTAATAAATATTTTGAAAAATATTTCAATAAACTAAAAATCTAGAAATGAACACATTTCTACACACGTGACCTGTCAAAATTAAACCAAGAGGATATAAACCTAAATAGATCAATAATAAGCATTGAGATTGAAGCAATAATAAGGTCTTCCAACAAAGAAAAACCCAGGACCAGATGAATTCACTGCTGAATTTTACCAGACTTTAAAGAACTAATATCAATGCTCCTCAAACTATTTTCATAAAATAGAAAGGGAACAAATACTTCCAAACTCATTCTACAAAGCCAGTATCACTCTGTTACCAAAACCTGATAAGGACACAACAAAATAAGAAAACCATCGATCAACATCCTGATGAACAAAGATGCAAAAATCCTCAAGAATGAGCTGGGGTTATAGTTCAGTTGGTAGAGTGCTTGCCTAGAATGCACAAGGACCTGGGTTTAGTCCCCTGCACTGCAAAAAAGCAAAATAACAACAAAACACAAACAAACAAACAAAAAACCTCAAGAAAATACTTGCAAATTGAATTCAACAACTCATTGAAAAGTTACACCATGATCAAGTTGGTTATATTCCAGGGATACAGAATGGTTTAACATATGAAATTCACTAAATGTAATTCATCATCTAAGTAATCAAGGATAAAAATTAACAGTCATTTCAATAGATGCACAAAATGCCTTTGATAAAATTCAACATCCCTTCATAAATAAAAGCCCTAAAGAAACTAGCTATACAAAGATCATACCTCAACATAATAAAAGTTAAATATGACAAACCCATAGTCAACATCATACTGAATGGGGAAAGACTGAAAGCATTTCCTCTAAAATCAGGAATAAAATAAGAGTGTCTACTCTCACTACTCCTATTCAATAGGAGTACCATGGCAAACGCCTGTAATCTCAGCAGCTCAGGAGGCTGAGGCAGGAGGATTGTGAGTTCAAAGCCAGCCTCAACAACTTAGCCAGGCCCTAAGCAACTCAGTAAGACTCTGTCTCAAAATAAAATACAAAAAAGGGCTGGGGATGTGGCTCAATGACTAAGCACCCCTGGGTTCAATTCTCAGTACCAAAAAAATAAAAAATATCAATACAAAAACTGTATTGAGAATATAAAGAACTTCTGCAAATAAATAAGAAACAGGTAACTCAACAGAAGAAAAACAAACACACATACAAAAAAACCCCACACATTTTGCCTAAGAAGAAATATATAAGACTAATAAATATATAAACAGATGTTTAACATTACTGGAATTCTGGGAAATTCAAAACAAAAACACAACCACTTTTTTGGCACAAATTAGGTATATGACAACAATGGAGCATTGGAAAGAATGTCACTAACTTGAATCTCTTATCCATTGTTTATATGAATGTAAACTGGTAAGACCACTTTGGAGAAAAATTAATATTATTTTATATAAAAAGTTAAATACTTGTATAGAGAAAAAAATTAATATTACTTTATAAAGTTAAATATTTGTATAACCTATAATCAACCTACTCCTAGAAAAAATGTGTACTTGTAGACCAGGAGACATCGACAAGGTTGTTTATTGCAACACTGCTCTTACTAGCAAAACACTGGAAACAACACACGTACTCATTAAAAGGGAAAACAATAAGTAGATTCTGGTATATTCACACAACAGATTACACAGCAATAAAAGGAGTAATAGCTAAACAGAGCAACATAGATCACTTTGAGAAAAATAATTTTTCAGAGAAAAACAATTCTCAGAAGATATCATATACATCTTTTACAAAGTTAGTAAACGGGCAAAAGTAAATATATCAGTAAAAATATATCGAAGATAAAATTTTTCAAGAAAGGAATCAAACATACAAATTACTTGATAATATTGCCTTGATGGTAAGGAAGGGACAGGGACAATATTTATAGATATTTGTGTTATGAAATAAATGAAGGAGGGCAATGCATGGATTGGTAAAATAAATAAATAAATAAATAAATAAATAAAGCTAAATGCCCAATCTATGAAGGTAGCTAAAGAAAACAGAATAAACTCCAAGAAAGAATATGATTTAAAGAGATCAAGACATGGAATAATCTAATTCTGCATTACTAAAGTTTAAAGAAAGCTACACTAATCTTTCCTGAACATATTTCTCAGTCTGCTTCAAGAAAGTCTATTAGTTAAGTTCCTAGAAATGAAACTTGTGAATGTGTACATTTATCCTTTTGAAAAAATTTCCCTAGTGGCCCCACAGAATAGCTATACCACCAAAAGTATCTCCTACCTCCTTGCGAAAACCTGACATTATCAAACTTTTTTGGGTTTTCCCAATACACTAGGTAATAGCTCATTATTTAATAGCTCATATTTAAATATGGGACTAGGTGAGCATCTTTTAATATATTATTGATCATTTGTATTTCTTCCTTTGTTCATAGCTTCTTAAAACTCTTTTTCTAATAAAATTAATCCACCTTATTCTCAGTAATTTTTAGGGGTTTTTTATTTGTACATTGAAGAATATAGATCTTGCTTATAACGTATACCTGATTATTTTACCAATGCATCTTTGGTGTGGCATGTTTTGCCATATTTTACTCACAAATTTGCCATTCCTTTTGGTTGTAACTAATGAACTCACAGTTTTTAAACTAGTAGGTCTCTCACCTAACTTTCCAAGGATAAGGCATGGGGAAACAATGTATCTAGTTCCTAGCCTTTCTGACTGTGGAACTTTATGGTGTTTCAAGCCACTTCAATGAAGACAAAAAAATGCAGAGGCATCATCAGAGTTTTAAATGTACAAGCATAACCCCAAGCTGGACTAAAAGAAATTTGCTTCTGCCATGATTTGGACTCTGGTGCCAACCATAAGTAAGTAGCACGTACTAGTATATGAAAGTAATGAAAAGCCTACAAACGTCTGTGTCAGATTTCAACACACATGCTCATTCAGTCCCATGTGACCTCATGCAAGGTAAAAAAGAATACCAAACAAACCAAAAAAAAGAAAAAAGAAAGAAAAACCTTCTTTAACTAAAAGGAAAAATCTTAGGTGTATAGATGTTTAAAACTTGTAACTGCAGTACATATCCCCAGAGACATCTTACCTGTTAGGCTGCCCTGGAATATATATAAGGTAGTAGACATCACAGACAGGAGGAGGCAGAGGCACCAGTCCTTGAAAAAGTCCATGGAGTGCTGAAACCAACCAGCAGGCAAGAACACCCACTCAATGACACCCATAACAAGAGGGAAACCTTAACTGCTCTGCTTGCCAGGATCCCACAATTACACATAAATACTGGACTGCACCTTAATGATTCCAATTAAAAAAACTGCAATTATTTTCACTCATGGGATTGGTTTATAAATTTTAGAAAAGAAAAATTTGAAAATTTATATAATATTCATTTTGCGAACTCAACTATTAAAACTGTGAAACCAAATATAATTGTGTACTTGATTTTGCATCACCCAGAATTATAAGGCTCAGTTCCCTCAGTCAGGGCAATCAAATCTTCCTTTATTAAGCCAACAAACACGGAGTATTTAATTCTGTGATGTATCCCTGTAAGTTTAAAAAGGATGGCTAGGAGATAGCTCAAGGGTAGAGCACCTGTCTAGCACATATGAGGTCCTGGGATCAATTCCCAGCACCACAAAAAATAAAGAAAAAAGGAAAGCAAATTATATAAATAATGGTGGTTTAATTTTTTAAAATGTGTCTAGTAGTTTCTTTCATTATTATTTATGACTAACAAGAGCTTTGTCTTCTCAATGTTTTAAATTATCTACTACAGGAGTTGCTCATTATCTCTTATGAGATAGTTTATGTGTATTTTCAGCATTAACATCTCAAAGTAACCACAAGAGAAATTAAAACTTAAGGCCAAGCAAATTGATATTAAAATTTATAATCCAAGTCTTAGGCCAATATTCAACTTGCATAAAACATCCCTTTCAAAAAAGGGAATGATTTCAACAGACTGCCTTTTTATAACACAAAATAATTAGTTGTCACACTATCATCAGCAATCTGTTTAAATTCTAGTAGTTGTTAGTCTGATATAAAATAGTTATATGTAATTTCCATTGAAATTAAAATTAGTTCAGCTTGATAAAATGAAGCACTAAGCTACATCAACTTAATAACCAGGTTCTTTACTGAGATAGTTTTAGCAGAGGCAAACATTAATATCCCTATAGGACAGCTTGGCTTATCAGTTATTTGCAATAAAACTAACTGCATTGCCAAATAGCATTTATTAAGCATAGGGGCATCCAAAAAATGATACTAATAACAGTAAGTGCTATTTAATACTTAGTGTCAGGTACTCTAACAACTGGCAACAACCCCATCATGTAAAAACTATTACTATTTCTATATCACACATGGGGAAATTAAGGTGAAGAGTGTTAGGTAAGTTAAGTAAGATCACATACTCATGAATAAGAAAGGCTGACATCTCAATCCAGAAAGTGTAGCTCCAAAAATAATAGAGAATAAAACGTGAACAAGTATATGTAAGGACAATCCAACTCACTAATAGATACAGATAACAAATAATCTCATTATTCTAAACATTATATAACTGACTCCTCAGGGAGAAAAAAATCTACATCCTGTTTGTTGAGTATATAATAGTGAAAAATAGAACTTGAGGATCTTTAGTTTATGAGTGAAAGCTGGATAGAAACACTAAAATTTTAAAAACAGTAACAAACTAGAAAATGGGTAATAGAAATGTGTGAATTAAGTATTCTTTAAATTAGCAATAAAATGATCAGATAAAAAGAAAATACTAATTTTTCTCAGTGGATTCAAAGTGAAATTAAAGAGATGAAAATAAGCAATATTATTCCAGGTTATGCTTGTTAATGGCTTCAAAGGAGAAGGAGAGACTTCTCTTGACATCAGCATTAAAGCAAGTGAAGAACTTAATAGGATGGTAACAAATGCAACCAAAAATAGCAGAAGAGAACATGACCTGAACTGCAAGCAAACAAGAATATCATAATTCAAAGAATTCACATCCATCCATGAAGTGAGATTGAAGGTGGATAGGAATTCAACAAGATTTGAAATGTTAGTCTTCACTGTCATACAAGTCTACAATATAAAGTAAAGGGGTAAGCCCAGGAAAAGTATGAAGGCATCATTTACCTGAACAGAAAATAATCAAGACTTAAGGTCCATTAGATGGGGACTTGGACGCACTTGCTATATAGAATTAACCTATGAAGAAGATGGCAACTTAGGTAACCTGGTTCAAACTTTCTTCCAAATTTTGCATAAAAACGATAGCAAGGAAAGGACAGTAAGACAATGGAAAGTCTAACTTAATGGCAGAAATCATTTAAAAGCCACCAAAACATTTAAAAATAAAAATATGGCTAGAGTTAATTTTGAGACTCCTAAGTCAGGAAAGACTTGTTATGGTAGTACTCAAAATTTTAAATTGCCCTTACAGACTCTGAAATAAGAACAGAATGAAAATGTAAACCTATGAAGATATGTTAATCTATTTATGAACCTTGTGGCATGATTCAAAAGTTATTACTAGTGATGAGCCCATTGTGGATCTTTAAAAAAAAGCTGAAATTTTGGGATTTGGAGTACAGCTCATTGGTAGAGGAAGTGCCCAGCATGCATAAGGCCCTGAATTCAATCCCCAGAACAGAAACAAAAACAAACAACTCCCCCCACCAAAATTCCTTAGAATACAGTTCAGAAATCAGACTACTACAGAAAGAGATATAATTACTTATTTTTATTTTATTTATTTTACTTTTTGGGTATAAACAGAAAATGTTCCATGGCTAAATAAACTAAAATCTAACTAAACCAGAAGGGAAACAATTTCAAATAGTAGACTTGAGACACAAATAGCAGCAGCTTTTATGAGAAGGGTGGAGCTGAATCACACCCTAGTGTTGAATTACTAGTACTCTATCTGCTTGAGCTGGTTATGATTCCCCAGAGTAACAATTCAATATTCATATTTGCAGCTTGATGCCTGTACTAGAAAAATGTTCACAACAAGGCTGGAAGCAATGCATAATTCTAGGGGACATCGTCCATATTATAGTCTCTGTGGGTGGTGTCCCCTGCAGTTGTACAGACAATTTGTGCACCCTGACTTAGCCACATTGATTCCAACAGTTTATTGTGCATGACCAAGGTCTTGCAGGTTTGTATGATAAACACACATTCTTATACATTGCTTCTTTGTCATCACTTTCTTAGTTTAAAATGGTCTAAGATGCCAAAGAATATTCTGATCCAAATAGTTTTTATTAGAATATAATATGATCATTTTCATACAATCCTTTGTCAGTTAATTTTCTTCTTTATTAACTGAGTAGAATGAGCTCATAACAACAGTGCCAAACAACATCTGATGACTAATGACAGATACTCCGAAGCCCCCAAAATGTGATCACTGCCACAAAGAAGCTAAAATTCTCACCCTGTTTCTGACTCAAGGTAAAAAGTCTAGCATACTAATGACAGCAAAATTGAGTAATCTGGCATTTACAGAGTGACTCTGGGTGAACTCAGGAAGAGATTAAGGAATTATTCCCAATATTTAAAGAAAATTCACACTCATTCCCAAAATGTTTTTAAAAGATTGAGTACAGCCAGGACGTGGAGTCATTTAGTCCATCTCTTATTGTATGTCAGCATTTCCTAAAAATTTTTCTGTAGACTATTAAGAGGGTTTCATTGTTGGTAAGTTTGAAATGCCACAACCACCCAACCGGGAATATCACCACACACATTAGCCTATTAAGTCTCTAAGAAGTCCTGTAGTTAAGGAATTGGTTTTGTTAACCCATAGTTTCCCATACTTATTTGATCACAGAACCAGTTTTTGTTTGTTTTGTGGAACATCAGCAACAGGACAAACAGTTTGGCAAAGGTTACTCAAAGATTATTGTGTATATAAATTATTTCTTAAGAATTAAAATGTAACAGCATCCAAAACTAAATAAGATCTCTTTGGTGACTGCAAAATACTAAAGAAAGTTGCAGTGCCTCAGATAAATTTTTTGGTACTAGGGATTGAATCCAGGGGTTTGCACATGCTAGGCAAGTGCTCTACCACTGAGCTACATCCCCAGCTCCTTTTAATAAGTTATTTTCAGGCAAGGTCTCCTTAAACTGCTGAGGCTATCCCTGAACTTATAATCCTCCTGCTTCAGCCTCCTGAGAAGTTGGAATTACAGGCATGTGCTACCATGCCCAACAAATGTTGGTTGATAGCTTTATTTGATAAAATGACAACCAAAATAAAAGTTACTGTATATTTAGTAATGAAAGAAAGACAAAAGCCTGTTTTATAGTACTCATGTCACTTAGCACACACTTCTCATATTGATAAAAAAATATAGCAATATTTGAGACTGACAGCATTTGAAGTACTCGGTAAGAACATACCACAACTGTGCTTATTTTAAAACCCATTTATCAGACAACATCTAAAACTCCCTGACTTCAAGAACTCATAATTTTAGCAATAATCTTTCCTTATATTATTAATTATGATTATCTACTCATACCAAAACAATGGCACCTACTGAAGATCATTACAATACTTACCACATTACAAAAAGAATCCAGACCAATGCTATGTACATACTCTAGTACATTCTGGTTTAGACCAAGTAAAATTTAACAACAAGCTGAACAGCATTCTATAAAACAAAAACAAAAAGTCGGTTAGGCTAATTCTGTCTTTCTATGCTATGGACTCAGTGAGAAAGAAGATAGTCTTGGAACTTGATAACTGAATCAAACCTGAACTCTTTTATCTAAAATTTATCTACACTTACCTTAAGAGAAGTTCTTTGGGCAACTTTTTGTTAATAAGGCCTTCATCACTATTTGAGAAAACCTGAAACAAAAAATAAAAATTATGAAATTCTTCCTCTATCAACATCAACAAAAAAATTACATGTTTTTCATACTGGATCAGAACAGCCTCAATCACTGTCCTACAAATAAGATGATACTAATTTCATGAAACCTATCACCCTTTCACAAAAACAGCAACACTCAGATATTTCTGTACTACATTGTACTGGAGGTTCTAGCCAAGGCAATTAGATAAGAAAAAGAAATAAAAACCATCCAGATTGGAAAGCAAGACATAAAACAACTTTTATTTGCAGATGATATGATCTTATATATAGAAAATTCTAAAAATCCACAAAATCAATTATAACTTATCAAGGAGTTCAGTAAGGTGACAGAATATACAAATTTATGTTATTAAAAAACAACCTAAAAATGAATTAAATAGGGCAATCCAATTTATAACAGGATCTAAATAAATAAAATACTTAGGAATAAGTTCAAAAGTACAAGTCTTCCATATTGAAAACTTATATAAAACATTCAGAAAAATTAAAGATATACATTGAAAAATATCCACATTTATGAACTGAAAGACTTGATAGTGTTATATACTACAACACCACTTCCCAAACTGATTCATAGATTATATGCAATCCCTATCAATCCTAACTGCCTTTTTTACTGAAAGTGACAACTTGATCCTAAAAGTTCACATGGAAATGCAAGAGACCCAAAATAGATTAAAAAAAAAAAAAAAAAGATCCTGAAAAGAAAAATAAAGATGGAGGACTCAAACTTTCTGATTTCAAATTTTGCTACAGAGCTGCACTGTGTAGTGATTTATACCTATAATCATGGCTATTTGAGAGGCTAAGGCAACAGGATCACTTGTGCCTAGGAATTTGAGACCAGCCTGGGAAACATAGCAAGACTCCATCTCAAAACAACAAAATTTAATTTTAAAATTTTATTTTATTTTTTTACTACAAAGCTACAGCAAGGAACTGAGACTCTGTAGTACTGGCATAAGGATCAATACATCAACTGAATAAAGAGTCTAAAAATAAACTCCTACATTTGTGGGAAATTAATTTAAATGGTGAATAGAATAGTCTTTTTAAGAAATGGTGCCAAGCCAACTAGATACCCACATGCAAAACAATGAAGTTGGACTCCTTCCTTAATCACACACACACAAAAAAAATTAACTCAATATGCATCAGAGGCCTTAATAAATAGAGCTAAAACTCTAATCCTTAGGAGAAAACACTGGCATAAAACTTTGAGTTGCTAGATTATGCAAAGCTTTCATAAATGTTATCATACCCAAAGGACATAATCTGAAGATAGATTGTTGGACATCAAAATTTAAAACCTTTGTTCTTCAAAGGGTATCAAGGTAGCAAAAAGAGCACAGAAAGTGAAAAGAAATCACACAAAATAGGAAAAAAAATCGCTGATCATATGTATGATAAGGTATCTATACCTAGAATATTTAAAGAACTCCTATACCTCAACAATAAAAAGACAACCCAATTGAAAGATGAGCAAAGATTCCAAATCAACAATTCTGCAAAGAAGGTATCTAAATGGTCAATACTCACAGAAGATGTTCAGTATCATTCATCATTAGGCAAGTGTAAGTCAAAGCCACAACAAGATACTTCACATCCATGTGAATAAATAAAATTAAACAGACAGATACTAAGTAATGGCAAGATGTGGAGAAACACCACCCCTCATACACTGCCGATGAGAATGTAAAATGATGTCGCCTTTGGAAAACAATCTGAGAGCTCCACAGAGGTTAAGGATTGTGACTGTAGCTCAGTGGTAGAGCACTTGCCTAGCATGTATGAGGTCCTATGTGGTGGTAGTGGTAGTGGTGGGAAGAGAAGGAGAAGAGAGAGGAAAGGAGAGAAGGAGTGGAAGAGGGAAGGGAAGAAGGAAGAAAGAAGAGATTAAACACTGTATTGCTGTAAGACCCAGTTATCAGTTATTCTATTTGCAAATAACACTTGAACTTGTATGAGTAGGACAGTGTCATTCATAATAGCCAAAAAGTAAAACAACCCAAACATCCATCAGCTGATGAATGTGTAAACAAAATGTGATAACCATACAACAGGATACTATTCAGCAATAAAATGAAATATTTATACATGTTAGGATAGGAATGAGTCTTGAAGACACTATGTTACTAAAAGAAAAGACACAAAGGTGACATATTATATGATTCCACTTACACTGAATGTCTAAAAAAGGTATATCCAGGGAGGCAAAAAGTGTAGTAGTAATTGCTTAGGACTGTGCAGTGAATACTAATGAATGGGTTGGCGTTATGAAAATGTTCTTGAATTAGACAGTTTTGATAGTCATACAATTTGTCAAATATACTAAAACTAATTTTTATATTTTAATTATGTGAAACTTATGGTATATGAGCAATATCTGCTATTTTTAATGGAAAAAATACACATTTAACCAAACTGCAGAAATGGAAATAGTGTTGTAAGTGGAACCCTATATTTGTTTTCCAATTTTTTTATTAGTTGTCCATGGACCTTTATGTATTTATTTGCAGTGCTGAGAATCAAACCCAGTGCCTCATACATACTAGGCAAGCACTCTACCATGAGCTACAACCCCAGCCCCACTTATTTTCAAAGTAGTGTCACTGAGGACTCTTTATGGTGAGAGACTAGCATTTAATAAGTGCCTCCTGTATTCCAAGCTCTTGTAAGAACTGTTAGATGAACTAACTAAATTGTCTCAATTAATCTTTTCTAGGTCCTTGAAGTATAAAGTTATTGATTTGATGTCTTTCTTTCTTTCTTCTCTTTTAATGTAGGCATTCACAAGAATAAATTTCCCACTGAGCACTGCTTTCACAGAATCCCATGAGTTTGGACATGTTGTTTTTCATTTCCATTTCAAAGTATTTCCATTTTCTTTTTCTCACTGTTTCAGAGTAGTATTTAATTTCCAAATAAGCGGTGTTTTTCAGTTTTCCTTCTGCTTTTAATGTCTGGTTTCATTCTATCGTGGTTAATGAAGAGACTATATGTTTTCACACATTTATTGGCCATTTGTACTTCTCTTGAGAAGTGTCTATTCAGATCATCTGGCCATTCCCTGATTGGATTATCCATTTTTTTAAAAAAATATTTTTTTAGTTGTAGATGGACATAATACCTTTATTTTGTTTTGTTTATTTTTATGTGGTGCCAAGGATTGAACCCAGTGTCTCATGCATGCTAGACAAGTGCTTTACCACTGAGCCATAGTCCCTGCCCAGATTATTCATTTTTTATATTGAGATTTTTAAATATTTTGGATATTAATCTTCTGTCAATTGACTACCTAGCAAAGATCTTCTTGCATTCTGTAGGTTGTTTCTTCACTGGTGATTGTTTTCTTTGCTGTGCAGAAGCTTTTTAATTTCATGTAATTCTATTTATCATTTCTTGCTTTTATTTCCTGAATTATTGGTGACCTAACCAGGAAATTGTTGCCTATGACAATTTCTTAAAGTGTTTTCCCTATGTTTTCTTCTAGTGGTTTCAAAGTTTCAGGTCTTCGGGGCTGGGGATGTGGCTCAAGCGGTAGCGCGCTCGCCTGGCATGCGTGCGGCCCGGGTTCGATCCTCAGCACCACATACAAACAAAGATTCTGTGTCCGCCAAAAACTAAAAAAAAAAAATAAAAAGTTTCAGGTCTTCCACTAGAGTCTTTGATCCACTTTTTAATTGATTTTTATGTAAGCTGAGAGGGTTCGAGTTTCAATCTTCTATGAATGAATGTCCAGTTTTCTCAGCACCATTTGTTGAAGTGGTTGTTCTATTCCAATACATGTTTTTGGCACCTTTGTTGAGAATCAGCTGGCTGAAGATGTATGATTTATTTCTGAGTCCTCTACACTGTTCCGTTGGTCAACATGCTTGTTTGTAGGCCAAAGCCATCCTGTTTTTGTCACAATGGCTCTGTAGTGTGTTTTAAAATCAAGTACTGGGATGTCTCCAGTATTGATCTTTTTGTTCAGTATTGCTTTGGCTATTCAGAAACTTTTGTTTTTCCATATAAATTTTAGGATCTCTTTTTAGTTCTATGAAGAATGTCACTGGTATTTTCATGGGAATTATACTGAATCTATCAACTACTTTGGGTAGTATGGCCATTTTAACAATATTAATTCTATGAACATGGGAATTCAGAAAGGGAACTTTTTAAAAGGTCCCTCTCATCCACATATTTACTCTTCCTGGTACAAGTCATTATTTCCTTTAGATCTGAGGTTCCTTTATCATTACTTTGCTTCAACACAATTTCTTTAAGCATTTCTTATGATAAAAGCCTGGTATAGAAAACTGTCTTTGCTTTTGCCTATCAGAAAAATTTTTTTAGGACTGGGAATGAAACCCATTCCCATGCACATGCAAGGCAAGTGCCCTACCACTGAACTACATCTCCAGCCCTTATTTTGAGACAGGCTCTAAGTTGCCCAGGCTGGCCTAAAACTTGTGATCCTCCTGTCTTAGCTTCCTAAGTAGCAGGTATTTGCCACCACGCCCTGCTTCTCATTTGTTTTAAATATAGAATTCCAGGTTACATTTGCTTTTTAAAAGCACTACTTTAAAAAGTTATTCCATTGTCCTCTGCTATAGTTTGGCTGTTCAATGTTCCCCACAGATCCATGTGTTAAAGGCTTGATCCCCAGACTAGATTTTTTGGGAGGCAGGGTCTTTAAGAGATCCTTAGGATATACCCTCAAATGGGATTATGGGACTCCAGCTCATCATCTTTTTTTTTTTTTTTTTCTTTTTACTTCCTGGCTGATGAGTGGAGTCATTTGCTCTGACACTTGCTCTCATCATGATGTACCATCCTTGTCAGAGGCCCAAAGTCATAAGGTCCCTCAATCTTGAACTAGAAACCCTAGAATCAGAAGCCAAAATGCCACAGGCACTTCATTATGGTGATAAAGAGCTAATTCATCCTCTGATGGGTACTGCTTCTGACAAGATGTCAATCATCAATA